CCCCCTCCCCTCCTCTTCCTGTACGTCATAACCTACTGCACTCTGATTGGCTGATCTGCTTCGTGGCCTGGCAACCAGAAGAGGCTTTACCAAACAGACAGACCCCCTGTCGGCAGGCTTTCGAGCTAGCTACAACCGCTAGCTACCTACGTTTTCTGAAGAGATTAAACCACCCAAATACCACCATGTCCTCGAGAACTCTACCCCTGCTTTTCATCAACCTCGGCGGAGAGATGCTGTACATCCTTGACCAGAGGCTTCGAGCTCAGAATATCCCCGCTGACAAAGCTAAGAAAGGTAGCTCACTTTAGCTTAGCAGCTATCCGGATAACAACACTAATGTCAGCCTGCATTTAAAACCGCGATAACTGCACATTCCGGTCGGTCGGTCTGTCCGTTTACTGCTTTGTGAATTTATAATAAGTGCCTTGATTCATAGAAAGCCAGTCTAAACACAAGAGTTATCACTGATGAGTCAACTGGTGGTGGTTTTGTGAATCTACACAATTTGATAAAATCACAACACACATTGACAAACGTTTCTGTTGCATGGGACACTGTGATAAACAGCCATGAACTAATATCATTCCCAATGCTTCATTGGTAACAAATGGGAAACTGCTCTAAAAAAAAAAAAGGGCTATAAAACATAGCCTGATTATAATCCCAAGCCTGATTTCCACACAATTATATTAGATAATAAATAGCCACATGATGTGTACACATATTTGGGAGAATTATAGGATCCATTCACACTTAGCGTAGACTTCGACAAACGACATTGGTCAAGTCTTGAGATGTCATTCAACAATCTGGTTTTCGGAACAATCATTTCATTTGTTATCCCCTTTTGAATTCATAAAGATTCTGCAATAGCTGACTGGATAGACGACGACAGAAGGAGAGGTATTCCTACAGAGCTTTAGTATAATCATGCCCTGATGCATTAGTAGCTCTTTGCTCTGCTTTGGAGTAGACTGAAGGAACGCTCTGAATACACAGATGAGACCTCATATGCACACACCTCACAACGTATGTACTGCGGTTGTCTTTGCACCAGGTACATCCTGTAGGTGGTTGGGTCACTCGACTGCTCAGATCCTGGCTTCCAACTTTATTTGTTGTAAGGGCCTTCATTGGATAGATTCATTGACAATAAGGGGAGTTGTTTTCAAAACAGGGATTGATTTCTGCAAATTGTATTAATCAAATGAAAGAGCATTTCCGGCTACCAAGCAGGCCCCTGTGCCACATTTGAAACAACATGCTGTAGACTTAATGCCTTAAGAAAATCATTACATAAAACACCTCTTACCTCAAAAAACAAGTGCATTGCATTTGTTTTTCGGCATATGTCAAGAAGCTCATCTGGGGTCACCACATTATGTCTCTGCTTTGAGAGCAGTGGTTAATTTTTTCACGGCTGCTTTTTTTTTTTTAGTTGAACTTTGGCTTCCTTATAGGTAAGTAGCACAAAATACTACC